TGACCCCTCCTCCATGTCCCTCAGTCCCCTCCCCCCACAGTGACCCTTCCTCCATGTGCCTCAGTCCCCTCCCCCACAGTGACCCCTCCTCCATGTCCTTTCTCTCTCCGGTATGCCGGCTCACCTCTCTCCGTTTCCCCGGCGCGGCTCCCGGCTGCGAATAGGGAGAGCGGTTGCCCGCGGGTTTCTCCTCCGGACCCGGCTCCTCTCAACCGCTCCGGCCCGCTTCACATCAACAACAAGATGGCCGCCAGCCGGGGACTAGGCGGCTCCAGCTCGCGCTGTCATGGCAACACAGAAAGCTTTCGCCAATCAGAAACCGTAATAGGAATCTGCCTCCCTTTCTATTCGTCAGATTTCCTGTCCGTCACTCCTATGAACTCCGCCTCCTCCTGCTGCTGTCATTCGCTGCGACCTGCCGCTTTCTGATTGGCTGAGAACAGTGACTGCGGGACGTCTGTTAATCTCACAGAAGTCAGAGCGCCGCTCTCGTACTCCACCTGGCGGCCACTGGTGGAACTGCAGGTGAGCAGAGGAATGACAGTCCAAGTGTGATGTACTGATAGCTCATCCTTCTTCTTCCACCTCATTATTATTATTCTGCAGCTCTGACATATACCGCAGTGTTGTAGAGAGAGCACTCAGCCAGTCACATCAGTCTCTGTACAGAGGAGCTTACACTCTAATGCCCGTCCCCCCACAGTCACATTAGTCTCTGTACAGAGGAGCTTACACTCTAATGTCCCCTCCCCCCACAGTCACATCAGTCTCTGTACAGAGGAGCTGACACTCTAATGTCCCCCCCACAGTCACATCAGTCTCTGTACAGAGGAGCTGACACTCTAATGTCCCCCGCAGTCACACCTACTCCTTATATTACATGGTGTCTGCATATAACAGAATGTACAGTATATCCTCCTGGTATCTCACGCTGTGTAGTTTGGGGATGATTTGCCCTGCAGGTGAGGAATGTATATCTGCTCTGTGTGTGCTATGGCTGTGTCTCTGCTCTGTGTGTGCTCTGGCTGTGTCTCTGCTCTGTGTGTGCTCTGGCTGTGTCTCTGCTCTGTGTGTGCTATGGCTGTGTCTCTGCTCTGTGTGTGCTATGGCTGTGTCTCTGCTCTGTGTGTGCTCTGGCTGTGTCTCTGCTCTGTGTGTGCTCTGGCTGTGTCTCTGCTCTGTGTGTGCTCTGGCTGTGTCTCTGCTCTGTGTGTGCTCTGGCTGTGTCTCTGCTCTGTGTGTGCTCTGGCTGTGTCTCTGCTCTGTGTGTGCTCTGGCTGTGTCTCTGCTCTGTGTGTGCTCTGGCTGTGTCTCTGCTCTGTGTGTGCTCTGGCTGTGTCTCTGCTCTGTGTGTGCTCTGGCTGTGTCTCTGCTCTGTGTGTGCTCTGGCTGTGTCTCTGCTCTGTGTGTGCTCTGGCTGTGTCTCTGCTCTGTGTGTGCTCTGGCTGTGTCTCTGCTCTGTGTGTGCTCTGGCTGTGTGTCTCTGCTCTGTGTGTGCTGTGAGTGTGTGTGTGCTGTGACTGTGTGTGTGCTCTCCTTTTGCCCCTCAGCCTTCACTTCCTGTGTGTCCGGTGTCTGCAGACTCTGTGTACTCCAGTGAGTGGACGGGTTCAGGGCCATCAGTATATGATGGGGCCCCTTGGCAGGATCATTGAGGGGCCCCCACTATCTGCGAGGCGACTCCTCCAGCGATAGAAATCTTGATCTGTTTTTGTTACAAATTGTAGAAGTTTCCGGAATGTTCCGTCACTTTGTATCCAGATGTATTTCTCACCTGCAGATCACCTCTATGATGTACATTGTATGTGGTGTTGGTGTGTGTGCTCCCCCTGCAGGACGAGGCCGGGTACTGCGCGCCGCCGTGCACACACCAGGAATCTCTTCCAATCAAATGATTTTATTTTTCGGGATTCGAGATTTCGGATTTACAGAAAAATGTATCAAAATAATTACAAAATAATCAAGTGTTTGATTTCGTGACTCCTGGTCCCGGATCTCGCGGGACGTCGGGCGGATCACACTGCGACGATAAAGATCAGACGCCATTGAATCGGCGTCACCCTCCTCCTCCTCCTCCAATCAGATCCAGCGCCGCTCCCCCGTGTGACTGTTGAAGAGATATTCCCGTCCCGTCACTGCCGGCAGAGGAGGAAAAAATGTCAATGAGGTGGCGGAATAATCCTAAGACACGCCCCTAAACATGGCGGACTATACCGGCCGTATATGAACCGAGGCTGAGATGAGGTCATCAGTCTGCTGCAGGCAGCATTTCCTCAGACTCCCCTTCCCCCAGTGATCAGTCTGCTGCAAGCAGGAGGAAGCATTTCCTCAGTCTCCCCTCCCCCCAGTGATCGGACTGCTGCAGGCAGGAGGAAGCATTTCCTCAGTCTCCCCTCCCCCCAGTGATCGGTCTGCTGTAGGCAAGAGGAAGCATTTCCTCAGTCTCCCCTCCCCCAGTGATCAGTCTGCTGCAAGCCGTAGGAAGCATTTCCTCAGTCTCCCCTCCCCCAGGCCAGGAGCAAGCACTTACCTGGATCCTGAGCTCTGCCATCAAACTGCTGCAAGAAAAGAAAAGCGAGACAAGTCACACAGTAAATATTACAGAGTGCGATGCGTTATATATAAATGCATTATGCAGGACGCCCTGTACTATGTGTGACCCCCCCGCCGTTATTTGTAGACTGTTCTCGGTCAGGATTGGTGGAGGTCGCGCAGAGAGAGGTCGGTGCGTATGGAAGGAACGCCTATTCGCCCAGCATATGACTTGGCGTTCACTGCTCATTGCTGCCACTAGGTGGAGCCGAGGAGTATAGGAAATTGTAATGCTCCTCGGCTCCACCTAGTGGCAGCAATGAAGTGCGAACGTTGTTCACTCAGCTACACGCTGGACGAACGCCCCCCAAGGGAAGCAGATCTGGATACTCATCTACCCCGCACTGGGTAAATGGAGGTCATGTGATCTGCACTGGAAATACACATACACATCGCTCGTCTGCTCATGCCCTGCTGCCCCTCTCCTTCCCGGGATTGACGCCCCTCAAGTGACACTTCAGCACCCACAAAGCAGGGATCCTGGAACTGGAAGGGTTTATAGTAAGGGGCCCGCATTCCTATTGTACGAGCAGACCACATGTAACATTCGGTGATCATTATTACATCCTGGCGGGCCCCCGTTATCGGGGTGGTATTGGTATTGTCACGTACCAGGCTCAGCGGGCTGACTGGGGCGACGTCCTTCTTCTCCTTAGATGGGGGTGGCGGCTGTTGGTTCTTGTTGGCGGGCGGATCAGCGTTCTGTAATGACCTGTAAGGAGGAAAAGTGTCCGGTAACACTACTGTAGATTGTCAGCCATATAGGTGGACAGAGGGGGTGAGGAGCTTATATGGGGTGCAGAGCCAGAATGGGGGTATGAAGCCGGACATTGGGGTGAGGAGCCGGACATGGGGGTGCGGAGCCAGACACTGGGGTGCAGAGCCAGACACGAGGGTATGAAGCCGGACATGGGGGTGAGGAGCCAGACATGGGGGTGCGGAGCCAGACACTGGGGTGCGGAGCCAGACACGGGGGTATGAAGCCGGACATCGGGGTGAGGAGCCAGACATGGGGGTGCAGAGACAGACACTGGGGTGCGGAGCCAGACACAGGTGCGGAATCAGACATGGGGGTGCAGAGTCAGACACGGGGGTGCGGAGCCAGACACGGGTGCGGAGTCAGACACGGGGGTGCAGAGCCAGAAATGGGGGTGAGGAGCTGGACATCGGGGTGAGGAGCCGCACATGGGGGTGCAGAGACAGACACTGGGGTGCGGAGCCAGACACAGGTGCGGAGCCAGACACGGGGGTGCGGAGGCAGACTATGGGGGTGCGGAGCCAGACACTGGGGTGCAGAGCCAGACACTGGGGTGCGGAGTCAGACACGGGGGTGCGGAGCCGGGCATAGGGATGCAGAACATCAGTAATTGCAGCGCTGTAACACCTACAAGTGGACTCACTCACCGGTCCTGCAGGAGGGGCTGTGTGGCTTCTGTCGGACCTCGTGCACATAACGGGTACCTGGAAGTAGAAATGGCGCCGTTACTTTCGGGTGTGTTGGTCATACAGCACAGATAGCACTCACCATGACCTGTCAGGACGACCCCGCTGTAGACTGACTGCAACTCATTTATCAAAGTGTGTGAAAGAATGCTGCTGGGTCCTCCTGCCAACCCCTCGGACAGGTTATCCTGTGCGTGTGCAAAACTGAATACCGAGTGTGCTGGATATTTGTACATTCTATTGGAGGTCTGCCCTGTACTGAACCCCCCCCGAACTCCCAGCATTCTTATACCCACAACTCCCCCCCAAACAGCAGGGTTGGTTGCAGGCCCTGACATTTTTGCACCCCCTTCCCAAGGTGGCCTCCCATTCAGGAGGTGGCAGTACCGGGTAGCCACTACTCCTAGCACCCCGCTGTCCATCTAACCAGTCCTTAGAGAGATTTCCCCTCACTTCCTGATGATGAATCCCAGGGGCCCCCGGATAGAAAGCCTCACTTCCTGTCTCAGGCTGGACTGACTGGTTCCTGAATTCTACATTCATTTGTGCAGTGGCGGAGGACGCACCTTGTACACAGGGCCCAGGTCAGCAAACCGATGCCAGCCAGGAACAGTGCTGCGGTGATGGTCAGGACCACCATGAACCAGATGTCGGGCTGCCAGTACTCCAGCGTCTTGTTCACAATCGCCGTCTGCTTCACCGGAATCTGGAAACAGGAAACATCACGGAGGACTTCAGTGACTGAACGAGAAGATTCCACACAGCTTATAACAGCTGG